AAGTGCTATTTTAGAGATAAATTCAAAATAAAAATATTCTGAACTAAGCTGAAGTAGTTTCCTTAGTATTGGGGTACACGGCAATGTAGATTCAAATATCTTTACAAAGAAACAAACATGAAAGAAACCTGGCATCAGAAATGAAGTGTTAAGTAATTTGGCCGCACCATCTCTCTATTAAGAAGAGTGTTTAGTAAACATGTAAATTATATCCAAAAGTATTTAAATGGGTTGTTTTTTTCCTCCTTTGCATTTCTAACACTCATTTTTTGGTGTGGTAGGGAGAACCAATTAGCAAAAGTAGGGTGTTTAAGGAAAATTATTCTCTTCCCTGAAGGTGGATGAGGCCCATTTTTATTAAAACTGTTGAGCTGAAATTCTTTTAAAACTCCTGTTTCTGTATGCTGTGTTATGCAAAAGACCCTAGGTCTACTGTTTACTTCCCAACTCTGTACCATTTTGCGCTCATTTTTAACATCTGTATTCTTTGAAGTATTAAGGGGTTCAGTGAAAAGACGATAAGAAATAATTTGGAATGTATATGGTCATTGTGACATACACATTTCTCAAAAATAAAACTGGTCATTAGCGGATGATCTTTCTTTCTTGACTGACTGACTTCTAACAACCATTTTCCATAAATACATCAGGGCTCTATACCCATGTGACAGGAGTTCCTTTTAAGCAGTCTTCTCTCATCCTGAGAAATTTCACCCTTCCATTCATGAACTAAATAGCACTTCATGGTTGCCAGTCTGCTCTAGTTAGTGGCATCAGCAGTAGTACTCCAGGCTATGTTCCATGGCACCAACATTTCCCCCCACCTCTCTTTCTCTTCTTTGGAAGGGAGCATGGGAGGTTTTTTGTCATTCCCTAGTGATGGTGCTGGAACTGTCTGGCCTGGAGGCGTTTCACAAATGGAAGTGATCATTTCCCGTATTCCATGGCTTACTCATTTATTGTGGTACTTCTTGTTATGACTCCTCTTGCATCCTCAGCTCATATTATGTCAAAAAAAGAAACTGTTTTATAATTGCATGAGCTAAGGGTGTCTAAAGGCAGACAGATATGTCCTTATGTGAAAACATTACTAGGAAAGCAAAGATGGAGCATGTAAACTCACTACTATAAAAGTTCAAGAGCATTCTGGCTTTCAAAACAAATTCTATCAGGCAAGAGAGAGGAAACCTCTGTGTAATGTGGTGCGATGAGTTATTTAGTCTTTGCCATGGACAAAGATAAAATGGTGTCTGAACAGCATTGCTCTAAAATTGCATATCTTGCTCCAAGGGAACCTTGTGTTCTTCCTGTGCTACCCTGGGCTTGATCTACAAGTAGGCGTAGAGTTCCATACATGGTTAAAGAGAATAATTTTTCTCCCTCCTTCTTGTAACACTTTTTAGGTACTTGAAAGCTGCTATAATGTCCCCCCTCAGTCTTCTCTTTTCCAAACTAAACACACCCAATTCTTGCAGTCTTTCCTTATATGTCATGTTTTCTAGAACTTTAACCATTCTTGTTGCTGTTCTCTCTGGACCTTCTCCAATTTCTCCACATCTTTCTTGAAATGTGGTGCCCTGAACTGGACATAATACTTCAGTTGAGGCGTAATTAGCACAGAGTAGAACGGAAGAATTATTTATCGTGTCTTGCTTACAACACTTCTGTTAATGCATCCCAGAATCATAAAACAGGACTATGTAGCACTTTAAAGACTAACAAGATGGTTTCTGAGCTTTCGTGGGCCAGACCCACTTCCTCAGATCAAATAGTGGAAGAAAATTGTCACAACCATATATATCAAAGGATACAGTTAAAAAAAATGAACACATATGAAAAAAGACAAATCAAATTTCAGAACAGAAGGGGCATGGTGGGGAGGTAAATGTCTGTGAGCTAATGATATTAGAGGTGATAACTGGGGAAGCTATCTTTGTAATGGGTAAGATAATTAGAGTCTTTATTCAAACTTAGGTGTAAAGTGTCGAATTTAAGCATGAATGACAGTTCAGAGGATTCTCTTTCAAGTGTAGTCTTAAAAGGCCTTTGAAGCAGGATGCAGGTAATCAAGTCATTGAGACAATGTCCTTGCTGGTTGAAATGTTTCTCTCCCCCCCCCAATCCCTCTTCTGTTCTGAAATTTGATTTGTCCTTTTCATATATGTTCATTTTTTTTAATTGTATCCTTCGGTATATATGGTTGTGACTATTTTCTTCCACGGCACATGATAGCATCAATTATATTTCTGGATGCGTAGGAAAATGCATGCAAAGTCAGAATAGGCCAGGGATAGGAAGAGGAAAGTTGAGCACTAAGACCCAGGGGAGGCATTGCTTCCCCTTGCCCTGGTCTTGATGTTTTTGCCGGCAGCCATCTTGAGTTTTTGGTCGAGCAAGAAGGGAACTTCCCTTCGAAACCAGGTAAACAGGGGCGCTGGGGCCTGAGGGGGGAGGGAAGGGGAGGGGCTGGGCCCAGTTGCCGAGTATGTAGGGTTGCCAGGTGTCCAGTATTTTCGCCTCCTGGATGGGAAAAAAACAGAAAATACTGGACATTTCAGGTGTCTGGTATTTTCTGAATTTTTTTACCGGACAGAAGGCGAAAATACCGGACTATTCAGGTCAATACCGGATACCTGGCAACCCTAGAGGCTGCACATGAGGCACCCAGTCTGGAGGGGAGAGATGGAGAGGATTCCCCAGAGGGCACTGGTAGGAAGTAACCCAGGGTGGGGAATTGATCCCCGGAAGCTTGGTGTGTTGCAGTGAGATTCCCTGCTAAGCTAATGGTGGTCCACTCCATCACTGACAAGACACTGGACTGGGACCCCCTACCTTCTCATCATAACTTCTAGTAACCCACCTATTATAAATCAGTAGAAGAAACTCGTGAACAAGACGAGCTTCTGTTTACACCTCATACCAGCAGAATATTCAGTAGTAACTGCACTACTCTCTATGGGCATGTCTACACTACGGAGAGGCTTTACCCTCTAGAGATTGATTTTCTAGTGTTCAGTTTATCAGGTCTAGTGTAGATCCCCAAATCTAATGCTGAGGGCAGCCCCACCAGCATCCTGTACTTCTCATTATGTGAGGAGTCAGGGAAGCTGATGAAAGTTTGTGCTTATATCAGCCTCCCACAGTGTAGACGCTGCAGCAACTCAGCTTAAAGTAAGCTGACTTCAGCGAGGCATTTTGCACAGCTGGATGGCCTACCTTAAGCTGACCTGTCTGATCTAGTGCAGATCTGGCCTAGGGTGATTCTATGTGCTGTTTGAACTATTAACCTAGTTGGGAAAGTCAGAGCTGGAACTAGGCAAAACTGTTCTTTTTCTAAAATGTTAGGATAAAGGCAGGTATTTGCCTTCAGTGGTTTACAAATGAAGAAAAGTCCCTTTTTTGAGTAAACTGCTATGCTCCTGAGCTTTTAAACTGAGACTAAAAATCTAAACAACACAGAGATTTTCATTTAATTCCCAAATAGTTATGTAGTGAGTTTAGAGAGTCTGTCATTCTATGATATATTTCAAAGATGCAGCACAATGGAATATAGCACAGTATTCCAAGCAGACTGACAGAACCGCTGTGTTTCAAATTGCAACTCATCCCAAAAAAGCAAACAACAAACATCTCATTCTGGCTTTTGCATCTTTCTGGTTGCCTCCCTCAGGATCCAAAGTTGTTAGACAGAATAGTAATGTAACAACAAAATTATCTTTCTTGTTTACTAAACTGTCTGCCGAAGAGGGTCCCAGTGACTGGAATGTATGCATTGGCACATCCCTATCATTAAAATTGCAACTCATCCCAAAAAAGCAAACAACAAACATCTCATTCTGGCTTTTGCATCTTTCTGGTTGCCTCCCTCAGGATCCAAAGTTGTTAGACAGAATAGTAATGTAACAACAAAATTATCTTTCTTGTTTACTAAACTGTCTGCCGAAGAGGGTCCCAGTGACTGGAATGTATGCATTGGCACATCCCTATCAGAACATAGCAAGTGCTGCACAGTATGGTATAAATATCTATTTCTTCAAAACTCTCATCCTTTGACACTGATTGGGTTGAATATTGTGTGTTTTAAAAACATGAGCATCCTCACAAAGCCCTGGAAAAATGATGAAAGTATTCTAATCTGATACAATGTATTTTAAGATTACTTTTAGATTTGTTTGTATTCAGGCCTTTGTTCAGGAAAGGATACCTATTCAAATAAGGTGCATAGGCACATGCTTAAAGCTGAACATCTGCTTTCCTAAAATTAAATCTGTGCTTAAATTCCATGATGGCAGCAGTATAGCACATGCTTTCCTGAATCTGGACTTTATCAGAAGTAACTGAGCCTAATCTGTTATTGTGCAATTTAGATTTCTCCTGTAACCAGTTCAGAAATGAACAGTAAGTAAAACAATAGGATTTATTTTAATCCCTGTATTTCACAACCCAATTTCAGTCTGATTTTATTTTTTTAATAATGGCAGAGTGTTTTTGGACACAAAAAATATCTGTGAAGAAATTAAGCGAGGAAAAAATGGTGACCTGATTCATTATCAGTATTCAAACAGAGATACAGGAATAATGATTATCATCTGAAAAAAAGCAGCAGCTGTATATTTGAGAAATGGTCTTTCTTTAGAAAGCAAAAATAATCTTGTGTCAATTTAATTTTAGGAGTGTAGTGTAACCACCTCTAAAATAATTTTTTTGATGTCACTGGCAGAAAATTCATAAAATGAGCACACTTTTATTTTCTTCTTTGAATATTTGATCTAAAGTTGTGTAAATCTCATTACCTACCTCTTAATGTTCTGGTCTCTCTTCACTTTTCTACTTGGTTTCTAATGATATTTCAATTTTTTTATATGACAACAGATTGACTCATTTTCTGTTATTAATTTCAGATCCCTTTAGCACCACCTAAGGCCACTTTTTCAGTAGAACTGACATAATTTATTCAAAGTCCAACAAGTATCAATTAACAGATCCTTTTGTTTTCACAGTATATCCATTCAGCAGGCATAATTCACAGGGTGAGTGAAAACAATATTAAAAATACTTGTGTTTTTTTATTTGTATTCTGTAGATGATGTTTGTGCACATGTATGTACATAAATATGGTTCTCCATTTTTTACTTCATTCATTTTGGTTGGAGATTTTTAGGGTTTTAGACTAACAAAAATTTGCATAAAAGTGTGTTTTTATCAAAAAAAAAATCCCCATTGAAAAACAGCACATAAAAACCAAAAATATTTCACCACAATGCAAAAAGTTTCAGAGCATTGATAGAAAGTCTGAAATTTCCACTGAATATTTTAACAAAAACTTTTTCATCAACATTTTTGGACTGAACTAAAACTGGCCATTGTGATTCCTTTTGGAAATCCCACTGATGCTCTCACAAAATCAGTGTGAGAGTTTTGAAATGAGAGTTTTGGGTTGCCTGCCCTTGTATTTGCAAATTTCATTCCAACGCAAAGTTTCGGGTGTCTTACCTTAACCAAGACAAGAAATCGCTCCTTTGAAGTAAAATACCAGGAGCACCATAAATATTTTACTTTGCTCTGGTGGTTTTAATTTGACTGCTGGAAATTGTATCATTCGTCATAAACCCAACATGATGTAACATTTAAATTAGTGTGAATGTTAACTCCCAAAGCTGTTGTAATCATAGTCTAAACTAGTCATTCAGCCATTTTCTAAGTTTCTCTTGCTGATTCATCATCTTTCAGTTCCATTGTAGAGTCTTTGCAATTCACGGTCTCCCTTCTCCTCTCTCCAAGATCCCTATGATGTTAACAAGTCTACACTCCCTGCTTTTTTTCATTCGTTATCAGAAGGCAGTTGGAAAGTTGTGCAGAAATTTTGTACAAGCATCTTGTTTTATGCTGTAGTTGACATAAATCTGCAAAAGTTTTGGGGAAATTCTGCTGACATTTTTCTCCCTAAATCTGTGATTCTCCACAGGTCAATAATAAGGGTCTGAGTTTTTCCAACTGGGTATTCTTCCCTCTCTATAGTGTCAAAGTCTTATAGCAGTTAAATGCAGAGGGATTTTGATGTTACTAAGAGGCAGAGGATGATCAAGACCTGCCCCTTTATTTTTGGAATTTTGTTAATGTAACAAGTAACAGCCTTCATTCAAGTGAGTCAAATTAGCAGGAAATGAGGCTCCATTCTTGGGTGGCCCGGAGGCACTGCTATAGTAAACATGATTAATACTAATAATGGACTTTAATTGAAGACTTTTTCTGAGTAGCTTAACAGCTGTGAAGGAAAGCTCTTTGATTTTGTTGAGTTTATGTAGGTCCCTTAACAGTGTTGGTTTTTAAATGGTCCCAATTAGGCTTTGATGTCCAACCTAAATACTTTAATAAGGAATCTGGGGTAGTTCTCTTTTTTGTAGCCAAACCATAGCAATAAACTTTTCATCAAGGCTATGCTAATAGAACAGAAGTTCATTTCATTAAAAAAATGCAGAAAGACCCCATAAGTATCCAGAATTTTACTATGTCATAGTTGTGCTCCCTGTTTTTTGCACTGATGTTGATTATAATGTAGAATACTTCTGTTGCCATTTTGAAGTGATTATACCAAAAGAACACTTCTATCACAGGTACAATTGCCCAGAACTGTATTCCCTCCTGCATAGTCCACCAAAGGCACCTATTTAGGCTTTCAGCTCCCCATTCATCATCACTCTTGGGCAGAGACCCACATCTCACTCTCTCCTGAGCAGGATTTTTCAGTCTGTAACGTTCCCTGTCTGCTCTGAGCTCACCAGAAAGCCAAATTGCCTAAACAAGCCTTTGTCTGCACTTCTCTTTCCTCTCAAATTCTGAACAGTTGTAATTTGCCACTTTTATAAATTCACCATGCAATTTTCCCTAGCAAGTTTGTTAATCTTAAGCTGAAAGTATTACAGAGAAAACATTAAAAACAATAAGACAATACACATGCATGTTAACAAGACAGCATGATTTTGGTAGGAGGACTGTATTTCAGACCTCACCAAGGGATTTTTCTGTGGTTACACGTTCATAACAGCATTTACTCAGAACAAGCAATGTGGAGAATAAATCTATCTCCCTTTTATATAGCTTGGGCCTTTTGATCTTCAGATTCCGGGAATAGATAATTAGCAGACAATAGTTTTCTCCTCAGGATATGGGTTGGGTCAAGAGTTGGGAATTTGCATTTGTCTCTCCACACAACTACCCACTTACCTTTGTCCCAGAGGTTCTTTCTTATCTGTCACATGATTTAAAATAGTACTTCTGAAGCTCATAAAACTTCCTAAGGTTTATGTTGGCCATGTCTCCCTTCTAGAGTAGTTGCAAACAGTCCAACAATAATACACACATTTTTCATTTAATTGAATGGACTACAAAGATATTTTTAAATTTAACTCAATAAACATTTTCAAGGATATTGCAGGAAATTTCTGATCCGTCACTATTTCTTCCGTGTGATGTATTTTTATTTAGAAGTTGTATTTTTCTGTCTGTTGTAAAAGTCCATCTCAAACTTGATATATTTACAGGATCTAAAGCCTGGAAATTTAGCAGTAAATGAAGACTGTGAATTGAAGGTAGGAAACACTTGCTGTAATAGCAGTTGCTTTTGTTACAAAGACTGCATAAGAGAACATGAGGGAAACCAAGTCAATGACAGAACTCCAATTGGCACCAGTTTAGGATTTTATCCTATGATTTTTGAACAGTCACAGAGAAATGGGGAAATACTAGAAAACAGAAGGGAGGGAGGATCAATTGTGGTCTCAAAATCCCAGAAGGAAGGATCAAATGTGGTACCAGTGGAGGAAAAAAAAGTGGAGGAAAAGTGGTTCCAAAAAAAGTGGAGGAAAAGTGGTTCTGACTATTGGTGTCCCATTTATCTGATCTCAATGCACACTAAAATAATGGAATATATATGTTGGGGTAGGATCAAACTGAACATCAAAAACCTAATGATCTTATGGGTGTTTCTATACAACGCTGAGGTTACAGCTACACAGTAGCATGTAACTCGAAATAAATGAACGCAATTTGTGCTACACAAATTGCGTAGCTTATTTCAAAATAGCTTATTTCAAAATTTGGCACTGTCTACGCAGAGCTAATTTCAAAATAAATCACTAGTCCGGCGTCTTCCTTAATCTCATTGTGAAACAAGGCTTACAGGAAGACGGAATAAGAAGCCCGTTATTTTAAATGTATTTGAAATAACAGGCATGCTGTTCAGATGCACAGAATGCTATTTCGGGATAATGGACGTTATCCTGAAATAGCACTGCTATGTAGACATACCCTGAGTCATTGCAAGCTGCTGATTGGATGACTGACCTCTGAGAGGATTATGAAACCAAGCAAGTCGCACTATTTCTAGAGGAAAAACTTTGCCAAATATATTTAGTCGCTGCTTTTTTTAAAAAAAAAGTAGAGTTCAGTGACTGTTATCTTTGTGGATATTAATGAATCATTCAGTAGTGTCATATTAAATCCTGCTTTTAAAATTATATCATATGGTCTTGAATATGAACAATGACAGGACTTGAAGTTGACTGAACGATTATTTTTTAAAAATTCATGACATATAGCAAAGTATAAAATTAGGGATCAATGTTAAATGCAATCTTATTTGACATCTTCCCTCAAGATGCTTCAGACAATAAGGAAATTCAACTATGGTACTAAGTATTGGTAATGAATTCACATAACAGTTGGATGTATGGAGGATAATTGTTAGATGAACAAGCCTATGTCAGTCATGAATTATAATAATGACATCTGAGATTAATACTGCCAGGATTCCCTCCAGGGTAGGAGAAGGTGATGGCAAAATGTACTATAAAAATTGAAATTGACTGCTTTAAAATGGTTTTAAGAAGGAGGTTTATAACAGGCCTGTGGTTTTACAGAGTGGATGTCCAGAAAGATACACATTAGGGGTGTTAAAAGGACTGTAATTACTAATCATGGAACTGCTGAAAATGTCTCATAATATAAACTATAATAATCAGTGTAGATATGCATGCAGTCTTCTTGTAGCCATATTAGAGAGACAAGGTAAGTGCAGAAATACTGGGTCAACTTCTGTTGATGAGAAATACTTGCTTTACGAGCTTACACAAAGCTGTTTTTCAAATCTGGGTTCGTGTAATACATAAACAGCGATGAAAATCTGCTTATTTTGTCATGTAACCAGGTAAAGAAATTGACTTTCCCCACAAGAGTTAATGTCCATGTAGAA